CTCCTCTACTCTCCCAAAGACCCATCTACCTCAGCATCTATATGACCTCAACCAAGTCCCAGGAACTTTGAGAATATGGAAGGCTGGCCACAACTCACAGCTTTAATAAATGCAAGTTATTGGCCATATCAATAGTCTTGGTTGAGTGAACTCAGAAATGCTACAAGAAAGGGAGTCCTGAGGAGGGATCCCATAAAGCAGAGAATGGCATTACTGCACTGGCAAAGAGACCACTGAAGCTGACTTAATACCTGAGACAGCAGAGGAATAGGCAGTGGGTGAGGGTGAGGAAGGCTGAGCATCCCCCACTCACTGTTCCCAGATCTGATCATACCCTTGCAAAATTCTTAACATGATCCGGTACTATCTGATCTCTGCCCATCTGTCCATCCTCATCTTATGCTACTCTCCCTTGATGATTTAGTCCCTGTGACATGGCCTTCTTTCAATTTCTTGAATATTTCAGGGTTTAACCTACATTGGAACTATTCTTGATGTGGAACATGCCCTTCCCCAGACTCTACTCTTTGCCTGGCTAGCTTTTTCTCATCCTTTGTTCTCACCTTAAGCGTTACTTTCTCAGAAAACCTTAACTCTCCAGCCTAAAATTAGGTTTCTCTCTTACACTTTCTTCATAGCACTTGTGGTGGACTTATGTTAACTTTTATCTGCCCTCTTCATTCCCTCCTTTAGGAAGCCACCATTTTAAACCAGTTACATTGGGAATATGTTGCCATACTTGCCTCCCTTAGCCACTGGGATGGGCACATGACACAGAGGTGACTAATCATAGTATTCCCTTGGGATTGATACATAGCAGTTGGGAGAGAAAGGAGGTCTCTTTTTGCAGGAATTGGGAAGCTACGAATCTGCCATCATCTCTCTAACTCCCCATGCAGAGAGTCTGGCTATAGAAGGAGGCTGAGAGGATAAGTAAAGCTGAGAAATGGAGAGTGCAATTGAGTCCTGGGTCTAGTGGACTTCCCAGTTACAGGAGCTAAAACATTATCTCTTCCCCACCTCCTTTTTTTGAGATGGAGTCTTGGTCTGTCACCCAGGCTGGAGAGCAGTGGGGGGCTATCTTGGCTCACTGCAACCTCCGCCTTGTGGGTTCAAGCAATTCTCCTGCTTCAGCCTCCCAAGTAGCTGGGACTACAGGTGCCAACCACCACACCTGGCTAATTTTTGTATTTTTAGTAGAGATGGGGTTTCACCATGTTGACCAGGCTGATATCAAACCAGGCTTACCTCAAGTATCCACCCACCTCAGCCTCCCAAAGTGCTGGGATTACAGGCGTGAGCCACTGTGCCCAACCAATTCTATTTATTAAAGCTAGTTTGATTTGTGATTTTATCACTTGCAATAACAGAAGTCCTAACTCAAGTAAAACTTATCACAATTTTAACAGCTTTATTGAGATATAATTCACATACCATACAGTTCCTTTACACAATTTTTAATTAATATTTGTCTAAGTATTTGTTTAATGTCTCTTTCCCCGTTAGTCCCATGACAGTAAGGATTGCAGCTGTTTGTTCATCATTCATTATATCCTAAGTGCCAGGGCAGAACTTGGCTTAGTGTGCTCAATAAATGTTTTTCACTGAATAAGTAAAATGTATTAATGAATATCTACCCTGTGCGAGGTTCTTGGGATCATGAAACAAATCAGACACAATCCATGCTCTCAAAGCCTAGGAGAGATAAACATGTAAATAGGCAAGTTCTGGTGATCAGTAGCAGAAAGCTCAGGGAGTTGAGTTGGGCAAAGATGGGTTACCTTGACCTGCCAAAATCTAACCAATTCATTAAGGTCTTCTTCAAGTGCCTTCCTAAAAACAGTGCACTAAGATTTAATCTCATGTGTTCTATCTGTGTTCCTCATCAAGATTTATACTGATTTTACCACTTGCTAATAGTATAAGCTTGAGCAAGTTATTTATTCTCTCTGAACTTTATTTTTGAGAATATTGGACATGCTCTATAATATCTACCTTAAGGTTTATAAAGAGACTTAAGTGAGATAACTAATACTAAACATTTCACATAGTGCCTTGTTCAATATATATCAATTATGATTACCACATTTGCTGTTTAGTAAAGTTAAGTGGTTAGGAACACAGGCTCTGGGAGCCAGACTACTGCCTGGGTTGAAATCCTGGTTCTACCCTCTTACTAACTGTGTGACTTTGGGAAGTGTACTCAACTTCTCCGTGCCTCACTTTTCTCATCTGTTAAATACACACACACACACACACACACACACACACACACACACACACACAAAATGTGGAGATAAGGAAAGCATACATCTTGAAGGATTTTAGGGGGATTAAATTAGATGCATAATACTTTAAAACACTTAGAATAAATAGTGCCTGACACAGAGTAAGCAGCTAATAAATGTTTAACCAATTCACCTTTTAAAAATCTTAGAATGGTCATGTATGGTGGCTTGTGCTTATAATCCCAGCACTTTGGAAGGCCGAGGCAGGTGGATCACCTGAGGTCAGGAGTTAGAGACCAGCTGGGCCAACATGATGAAACTCCATCTCTACTGAAAATACAAAAAATTAGCTGGGCATGGTGGTGGGCACCTGTAATTCCGGTTACCCAGACTCCCAGGAGGCTGAGTCAGGAGAATCGCTTGAACCCTGGAGGCGGAGGTTGCAGTGAGATGAGATCACCCAACCTTACCCTGGACCCCAGCACTCCAGCCTGGGCGACAAGAGTGAAACTCCATCTCAAAAAAAAAATCTTAGTGAGAAGGGCTTGGTATGCTGGCTATATTTTTTCTAATACATATCCAAATATGTATTAGAAAATAAATACAGAAAATCATCCTGCACAATTCCAGTGGCATGAGCTCCCCACCTTGGGCAACATTACTCCAGACTCATACCACCTAGTGATTTATGGTTCCCTGACCAAGAGGGCTGCTCCTTGTCTTTGCCCCTGACTGGGGAGCCTTAGTGCTCTTCCTCACTTGACTCACCTACTTATCTTCAAGACTCCACTTGGGCATCACGTTCTCTGACCTCAGCAGAATCAGATTCTTCCTCTATGCTCCCCCAACATCCCTCTGTCACACTCCTCACCACCTGGGCTATGACTGTCACTGTAGGCTCTCACTAGATTGAGCTTCTTTAGGCCAGGGAATGCATCCTATTTCACAGCTCAGGGCCTAGTACAGAGTAGGTGCTCAGGAAGTCTTATTGGGCAATAAAATGAAGTATCCAAATACTTACCATCATAAAGTTAATCAAACATATTTTTGTATCCTCCATGCCTGGCCGTATGCTAGGCACAGCAGGGTAGGCACAAAGACAAACAAGACTCATTTCCTGTCTGCAAGGAAATTTCGGGAGACAGACAAGTAAATGAGTGCATCCAAGAGTGATGGATACTGTGATGCTTCTATGTATGGGGTGCCTTAAGTGAGAAAACAAAGTAAAGAACTCTGGCAGGGGACTAAGAAATGTTTCATAGAAGATGTGAAGTTTGAGCTATTTTGAAAGCTGAATGGGGCTCACCAGCTGGATGAGGGTGGAAGATAGGGTGTAGAAGAGAGCATTCCAAGCAGATGAAATGCAGTCAGTCCAGGGAGAGTGCTGGGAGCCTCCTGGGAGACTGCAGGTTGAAAGCCTAAAGGGACAGTCTGAAGTTCTCCAGGTGTGGACTTCATCACTTGCTTATTGTTCTATGGACCATGTGGAGGCACTTTCTGGACTCCGAGAACCTCTGTGATAGTGTAGAAACAGCAAGGCCCAAGATGACCCAACCTCCCTGTTTATTAAGCACTTATAGTTTGCTACAGTTTACAGGCCACCTTGAGGAGAAAAAAGTATACAACACACACACATATTCATAATACACATAATACAAATATATACAACATACAATTCACACTTGTATATTATACAGATTACCCACCTACAAGCCCAAATATCTGTACTTCAGAAACTGTCAGAGAGTATAACTTTAAACTCTCCACTCCTCAATACTTAACACTTAGGATGTGAGATATACTTAGACTGGCTAAAAGCTAAGCAGTACATCTATTCTAGAGGAAGATTTCAAACTTTCAAACCTACAGGCATGGAACTCTTTTTGTAAGGCAACTTTACCCTGGACCCCAATACATAAAATAAAAGCTCTTCTTTTATGCAAAGGTAGGTAGAGTTCTGCTTTGGGGCCACTGAGACATACCTGGGCCTCAAACGAGCACAGAATATTTTAACCTTGGAAAAAGTCAGAATATCAATGAGCTACATACTTGAACGACATAGTTTTGTTCCTTCATACAATTACTTTTGTTGTGAATTGTGTTTTGGTGAGAAGCATGAATTTGCATTGAGATAAACCGTAAGAACAGCATATAAATACTTAGTGCTAAAACGTGGTCACATTCAGCATACAGAGTCTGCTCTACAGTTGACAATGAAGAGCAGTGCTTCTCTGGAATAATGGGTTTGTTTTTACACTAGGACACTCTGAACTATGTAACTGATTGTTTCCCTCTTGGCAATGGTTGCTAGGAAGCTCAAAGGCAACATTTTAGCCCAACTCTTGAGGTGTCCAAGAACTTATGACATAATACTTACTCATCCTAGCTTCCTCTTATTTTTCCCTCACCCTTGTTTTCCCTTTGCTTCAATTTTCTCTTATTTATTTTTATTTTTGTACTGTGAAGATTTTTATAAGACACCTCAAGTTTTTTGTGGAAGGAACTGGTTAAAAAAAAGAGTTTATAAATTTAAAATTTACTTACATATTCAATATAACAAATATATACATATCAAAAATGATGAATTATCTAAAACTCACAGTATAAAGCCCATATGTACATCGCACAAATATAAAAACAGATCACATAGGTACATAATTCATAATTATAACACTAATGACATAAATACAAATACACTTATGCCCTCTGTTTATCCCACTCTCATGAGCATGTGTACACATGCACACGTGAACACACGTGTCATCTACATACCAAGTTGCTCTGCCAGGAGCCGTCCCTTCTCAGTGGGAACAACCCTCTCTTCCTCCATGTCACACTTGTTCCCCACCAGAATAACTTGTGCATTGTCCCAGGAGTAGGTCTTGATCTGAGTAGCCCTAAAATGACATGGAAAGAGATGCGTTAATCATGTTCCTATAGACTGAATGGTTCCCTACTCCAAATTTATATGTTGAAGCCTAATCCCCAATGTAATGGTATCTGGAGGTGGAGTCTTTGGGACGTCATTATGTCAATGAGGCTAGAGTTCTAATAAATGTGTCCATCTAAGAAGAGAAAGAGGGTAGAGCACGCTTTCTCTCTTGGCCATGGGAGGATACAAGAAGCCAGCTGTCTCCAGATACTGTAGCTGCTGGTGCCTTGATCGTGGACTTCCTAGCTCCAGAACTGTGAGAAAGAAATGTCTGTCATTTGAGCCACCAAGCCTATAGTATTCTTGTTATAGCAATCCAAACTGACCAAGACACACACCCACCTATGACAAAAAGAAAACTGCAAAGTGTGAAGCAATGGTTTCTCTTCCACAGGACTAGCAACACCCAAGTTACTGCCAATTAATTCAACCGAGGACGTAGAGGTGCTTGCCCCTGCTGGCTGTTGCAGATGCTGACTCCTAAGCCCTGGCTGCAAACCTCACTCCTCTCTTTGAAGTCCACCTCTACCATATCTGGCCATCCCTCTTCTCACTAGGCAGAGAGCTCTTTCTAAAACAGGTATTTGATCACAATGTATCCTTTCTTAAAAGCCTTCTCTGGCCCCAAGCTAGCTATGTGATCAAGTCCAGATTCCTCAGTTCAAGTCCATTCATGCTGTCTTTCTCCAGCCTCATTACCCATTCCCCCACCTCCCAAACCTTTTTACTCATTCCCCAAAAGCTCTTCCATGGCTTGTGCCTTTGCCTACACTGGGAATTCCTTCCCCACACCTAACTCATCCTTCAGGGCCCAGTGCTGATTCCACAACTGGAGGAGAGCCTTCTCAAGCTCCCCTAGATCCACTTAGCCTCCACCTCCTCCTCTGTGATTCATAAACCTTCCCTGAAGTCTTAGATTATGATTATTTGCAGAAACCAAAATGTCAGCAGTGATTATCTTCACGTAAGATGATTAGAAGACTTTTTAAAAATGCTTTTCAAATTTCCATGCTTTTCACATTTTTGAAAGTGAGCAAGTATTCTATAATTAAAAACAAAATTTTAAGAGGAAATAAAACAGGACTCCCTTACATTATGGAGACATCTTTTTGTGGAGATGGGCCTAACATTCCCCAAAGACCCCATCAGGTAGAAATGATTACTTCCTCTTTGCTGAATTTCTATCTCTCCCTGAGGGCAAGAACCAGCCTATTCATCTTTGGGATGCCAATACCCAGCAGAGAACGACAGAGTGGAGAAGGTGTCAGTGAATGTTTGATAAATGAATGAGCCAGTGAACGGCCAGTCCTGATGCAGATCTTGAATCTGACCCTACCCTGACACTGACAATCTAACTCAACCCTAACTGCAACCTGAACCTGTTACTGACACTGCTCCTAAAGCTGATTTCACCACCAACCTTCTCATTTATGGTGAGAAGCCATTCCCTCAAAGGATGTAATTCACTCAACCACCATTTGTTGTGGGCCCACAAGAAACCAGGCCCCATTCTGGACACTGGGGCTTGGATGGCAGGTAGGGGTGAGGCTGAGACCAAGTTGCCCACAGACACAACTCAAAGGCTGGGGCTTGGGAGAGACAGACACTCAGTCTTCAGACTCAAGGCAGGCACCTGGGGCCAGCTCTCCTTGTCTCCTATGCTACTCTTTCTTTCATCATCCTCCCTCCTCCCACCCCATTTCCTCTCAGCTCCCAGATTAGCAACAAACTCAGGTTATTCTTGGAGGAATCGTCACCAGGTGTTAAAGTCATTGTGTTCCTGAGGCAGAATGAATAGAGACTGAGGGAGGAAGGGAAGGGGGTCAAGGCCAACAGGGAATGGGCAGTGTGGAGACAATTCAGGGGAGATATGGTGAGAGAGAAGAGGAGGGGCAGGGAGAGGGAATGAAGGGAGGAAAATGATGAGTGGAGGGAGTAAAGGAAAGGGGAAGAGAACAGAGAGGAAAGAGAGGAGAAAGATCCAAGGCAGAGGGAAGAAAGAGTTGTTAAAAAGGAAGGGGCAGAAAGGAGGAAGAAGAGGAAAAGAGGCAGAAAAGGAGAACACAGACCCCCAAGGAATGACAGACATGCTGATGACACCCTGAACTGCTGGTCAGAACAGGGGAGTGCAGCAGGCAGCCCAGAAGGTCATTCTCAGCTCAAGCTGTGTATGTGAAGCCAATGCAGCTTCACACAATTAACTGCTCCTTGGGAAAAGTGAAGTCCTCGAAGGGTCACTATTAGGCAAAAGGGAGCAGGAGACAAGCCCAGCACTGGCCAGCACTGCTGCTGTGTGCCTAGCCTGCTCAGCCTCTCCAATTCTGAAGGACAGCCACCACACAGATGTCCCACTTTCCCCCATCCTCATCTGGGCAGGGACACTGGGTTTTGGCCCTCCCTCTCACGTGTCCTTCCCCTCAGGCTTCCTCTCCTGGGAATCGTGCCCCAGGAGGAAAGCTATATGTTGCTCAGAGGTTGCACCTCTGAGGTGCTGTACTGATTTCCATTGTGTATTGAGCCTTGATGAACTTGGACTATACGTGCTCCTGGACACCCAGCTCAGCCCAGGGATAAACTTTATAGAGAAGTGCTATGTGGATTCACTCTCCACTAGAGCTACTAGTGGAGTAATCTTCCTAAAACACAAATCTGAACCTGTTGGTTTCCAATTCGTATGTCATCACCTATGGGACAGAATCCAAACTCCTTATAGTGTCACACAAAATCCTTGATGACCTGTGCCCTTTAACACTCGCACCTACTTTCTCGCCTTTGCACATCTGTACTCTTTTTCTGGAACATCCTTATTCATTTGTCCCTCGGACTAACTCCTGTTAATCTTACAAAATGCAGCATTTGTGTCAGCAACTCAAGGGTACCTTCCCTGACTCCCCAAACTGGGTCAGAGAGCCCTCTGCTGGGTTCCCACAGCCCTGATGCCTCTCTTCACTGCGCCCAGCACAAGATATTTTCTTTTACCTTTTTTTTTTTTTTGAGATAGTCTCACTTTGTCACCCAGGCTGGAGTGCAATGGTGTGATCTCAGCTTACTGCAACCTCTGCCTCCCAGGTTCAAGCAATTCTCCTGCCTTAGCCTCCTGAGTAGCTGGGATTACAGACACATGTCTCTACACCTGGCTAATTTTTGTATTTTTAGTAGAGACGGGGTTTCGCCATGTTGGCCAGGCTGGTCTTGAACTCCTGACCTCAGGTGATCTGCCCACCTCAGCCTCCCAAAGTGCTGGGATTACAGGCGTGAGCCACCATGCCTGGCCTATCACATGATATTTTCATTCCTTCTTACTGATCTGTCTTCTCCTCTCATCTGTGAACTCCTGAGGGCAGGAGCCATGTCTGATTGATCTGGGCTTCCTTAGCACATAATCCAGGACCTCACAGCACATGTTAGGTTTTAATGAACAATTTGCTAAATGAATGAATGATGAATATAAGAGTCTCATACCAGTCTTGGACAGCATTGAAGGACTCCTCATTGGTGATGTCATACATCAGAATGAAGCCCATGGCCCCACGGTAATAGGCTGTCGTGATAGTCCGGTACCGCTCCTGCCCAGCTGTGTCCTGGGCAGGAAAAGGAAAGAAGCAATCTCTTAGAAAGTCTGCTTTGGTTCCCAAAAAGTCCCCAAAACAATTAACTAATAACCCAAGGCATATTTAAGGAGCATCTATTATGTGTCTTGTATTATGCTTGGTGACTAGAATGAAATGATTTTTTAAATCTCATAGAAATTAATAAGAATAATTAAAATCCTAATAGAAAAGTGGACAAGAGGCATGAACAAGTCACATAAGGAATGTTGAGTGGGCACTTATTACATAAAAAGTTTTAACCTTATTTTTGTTTGGTTGTTTTTTTGTTTGTTTGTTTGTTTGTTTTTGAGACGGAGTTTCACTCTTGTTACCCAGGCTGGAGTGCAATGGCGCGATCTCGGCTCACCGCAACCTCCGCCTCCCGGGTTCAGGCAATTCTCCTGCCTCAGCCTCCTTAGTAGCTGGGATTACAGGCACGTGCCACCATGCCCAGCTAATTTTTTGTATTTTTTTAGTAGAGACAGGGTTTCACCATGTTGACCAGGATGGTCTCGATCTCTTGACCTCGTGATCCACCCGCCTTGGCATCCCAAAGTGCTGGGATTACAGGCTTGAGCCACCGCGCCCGGCCTGTTTTTTTTAAAGACAAAAGCCTTACTCTGTTGCCCAGTCTGAGTGCAGTCGCACCATCATAGCTCACTGCAATTTTGAATTTCTGGGTTCAAGCAATCTTCTCACCTCAGTCTCCAAGTAGCTGGGACTAAGGGTTTGTGCCATTGCTCCCAGCCCCCTTTTTAAAATAATAATTCCCATTATTGATAAGCATGCAGTGAAACATACAACTTCACATCTTGCTTGTGGGAGTGGAACTTGGTTTGGCCTTTCTGGCAATCATTTTGAAAGTCTTAAGAGCATTAAAAATGTTCATACTCTTTAACCCAGAAATATTTCTTCTGGGAATTTCTCCTACAAAATTAGAAAAATGTTTCCCATAAAAATAGAAATTCAGACAAATATGTATATACAAAAACACATTTGTTACAACTTTATCTAGAAGTAAAAACGTATCATCAACTTATATATTCAACAAGAGGAGAATGATTAAAATATAAGAATTTTTATGTAAGTTCATGTATGTAAGAATATTCAATGACATGAGACAATGCTTATATGTGTGATATATTAGTTTTGTAACTATATGTGCAAAGAAAAAAATGGAAGAAACACATCAAAAGGTTAACAGAAATTATTTCTGAATAAGAGAAAAGAACTACTGAGATTTAAATTTTCTTCATGTAATTCTTTTTTTTTTTTTGAGACAGGGTCTCACTCTGTTGCCTAGGCTGGAGTGCAGTGGAGCCATCTTGGCTCACTGCAACGTCCACCCCCTGGGCTCAAGCAATCCTCCCATGTTGGCCTCCTGAGTAACACACCACCATGCCCAGCTATTTTTTGTATTTTTAGTACAGACAATGTTTTGCCATGTTGCCCAGGCTGGTCTCAAACTCCAGAACACAAACAATCCACCACCTTGGCCTCCCACAGTACTAGGATTACAGGTGTGAACCACTGTGCCCAGACTTCTTTATGTGTTTTTCTCATCTTTACAATGTATTACTTTTTGTTTGTTTGTTTGTTTTATATAGTGTCTCTTGCCTATGTATTACTCTTACAATAAGGAAAAATAAACATTTTTTCAAAAAATGACTTTAAGACAATTCTTAGTCACAAGTAGCTCATAGCCTAGTTGGAAAGACAAATATGTAAACAAGCAACAAAGACAAGACCAACAGCAAAGGGTTATTGGAGCACACTGGGATGCTTCCAAATTTTCCACATAGTCCTCATGTGAGGGACCAGCCATCTTCTCTGTATCATTACAGTTATGGAATGTGTCATCCTTAAGCAGGTATGAAACATTTCCTCACATATTATCTCATTTAAATTTTGTGAGATTCCAGTGAGGTAGGTGTCATTATTATTTACATTTTATAGTTGAGAATGCAAAATATGCAGAAAGGGTAAGTGACTTTCCCAAGGGCAAGGTCACAAAGCGGGTGACAAAAGCTAGGCCTTAAATCCAGGACTTTTTTTTTAAAAGACAGGGTCTCACTCTGTCACTCAGGCTAGAAAACAGTGGCACAATCATCATAGCTCACCACAGCCTTGGACTCCTAGGCTCAAGTGATCCTCCCACCTCAGCCTCCCAAATAGCTAGGACTATAGGCATCCACAACTGTGCCAATTTTTTTTTTTTGTTTTGTTTTGAGACAGGGTCTTGCTCTGTCATTCAGTCTGGAGTGCAATGGCAATGGTCACAGCTCCCTGTGGCCTCGAACCTCCAGGCTCAAGTGATCCTCCCACCTCAGCCTCCTGAGTAGCTGGAACCACAGGCACATACCACCATGCCTGGCTAATTTTTTTTTTTTTTTTTTTTTTACTTTCGTAGAGACAAGATCTTGCTATGCAGCCCAGGCTTGTCTGGAACACCTGAACTCAAGTGATCCTCCTGCCTCAACCTCCCAAAGTGCTGGGATTACAGGCATGAGCCACCACACCCAGCAAAATCCCAGGACTTCTTATTCTATGTCTAATGCAGGTACCACCACACCTCCATCAATGAAAGATTGATTTATTCACAACCATCTACTGAATAACATCTATAGGGATAATAAAAATAAATAATGAGAACAATAATTTCATTATGCCATTATTTTTACACAGGTTGCACCTGTTATCCACAAATGTTGGAAAACCCTGGAGAATATATGCTGTTACTCTAACTTACAGGTGAGGAAACTAAGATTCATGCATAACTAATCTGTCTCTCTCCTGCACCCATTACGAAATATTGCCTTACCTATGAACTATGCTTAGTGTGATAATAACATGGAACAAGCACCACCCCTGCCCTCAGGAAGCCTCAACAGAGTTGTGAAGGCAGCTAAGACATAACAGCAAATTGATAATTAGCAATGTGAGGCAAAATGTCATCAGCATCAGATAAGTGGTATAAAGAAAATGAGTTGGCTGGGCATGGTGGCTCCTGCCTGTAATCCCAGCACTCTGGGAGGCTGAGGTGGGTAGATCACTTGAGGTCAGGAGTTTGAGGCCAGCCTGACCAACATGGCAAATCCTGTCTCTACTAAAAATACAAAAGTTAGTCAGGTGTGGTGGTGTGCACCAGCTACTTGGGAGGCTAAGGCACGAGAATTGCTTGGACCTGGGAGGCAGAGGTTGCAGGGAGCTGAGATGGCACCACTGCATTCCAGCCTGGGTGAAAGAGTGAGACTCTGTCTCAAGAAACCAAACCAAAAAAATTCTACCCCCCCCCCCCCCCCGCCAAAAAAAAAAAAGCAACAGAAAATGAGTCATACAGGTTCAGGTAAAGTAGAAACATGGTGGTTTGGGCTAGCTATGGAAGATGTCAAAGTGGAAATAATATATCCTTCAGGATAGGCTGGGTTCTTCAGGAACAAGCAATCCCAAATCTCAGTAGCTTAAACAACAATGTTTTATTTATTATTATTATTACATGTCCATTAAGGATTGGCTGAGTGTTCTGCTTTTTGTCATCTTTATTCAAGGATAAAGACTGACAGAGCAGCTGCCAGAGGGGAAGAAAGTATGTGAGTCATATATTGGCTCTTAAAACTTCCACTGTTCCCATTTCACTGGCCAAAGCAAGTCACATATCCACACCCAACTTTCAAGGGGTAAGAAAGTACAATACTATAACATGCTCAGGAAGAGAACTGGGACTATGCGGCAGACAGCATAATGATTCCCATGGGCAGAATCTTCACCGAGCCCAGGAGCATCACATGAAGATGTGCTTATTTGGCAATATAAGGAGAATAACTTTTCTATTTTTTTTCCTACTATATAAAGTACATCTGAGCAGGACAACTTTTCTAAAGAAGAGCTTTCCAAGCAGAAAAGTAAAGGAAAGGTATTTTGGCAGAAGGGAGAGTTTTTGACAGTGAGTACTCCCAAAGAACTTAAGGAATGGTGGGAAATAGGACACAGGTAGGTGATGAAGCTAGAAAGAGCTCTGAATACTATGCTATGGGATATGGACTTTATCTTTTAAGATCAAAGATTTTGCACCAAGGGATTAACATAATTAGATCTGAGATTTAAAAATGATCACTCTGACAATGGTGTAGAGAATGGACTGGAAGAAGAGATAGGAGAAAGGAAGGCTGGTTAGAAGATCTTTGCAGTAGTACAGGTCAGACTAGACAAGAATTTGAACTAGAGTGGTAGCAACAGGGATCGAGTAAGAACAGATTCATTGAAGTATTTAAAAGGTAAAATTATAGGGAATGGTGATAGATTACTTGTGAAGAGAAGAAAACAAAGATACCAGTTGTTTCTGTCAGGGCTTGGCTTCTCCACGTCCTCAGCAATTCAGCTCTGGCCCAGACATGCATTACCTTACTCCATAAAACAAAACCTGCATCTAACATACTCACCCTCCTTAGAGAGCGTATGAATCACCATCTCCTGTTAATTGAGCAAGGTCTTTGAGCATCTTACTCTCCATCTCAATCAGCTTATCAGAGTATTCCTTCTGACCACATACAGCAGTTGTCCCTATGATTTCTGGAAGATATCATTTTCTCCAGCTCATGAGTGAGTGGGAGGATAAATAATAGATGAATGGATAAGTGAGTGAATGAATGAATGAGTGAATGAACATTTAACACTGGAAGTCTTAGGCATTATTGAAAGAAATCTGTCATATCCACACCAAAGCTCTGTGTGTTTGTGACTAGGAAACATTGCAGCAGTATTTAATCCACTCCTCCTTGCCTCTGCTTCCTGAGCTCCTTAGAGCCAATTCCAAAGAAGAGACCTTCCACCAATCTGTAGGTTCAGTCCCTAAATCCTGTTCTGCAGGATTTGGAATTAAGCCACTCTTCCTGGTCTAGAGGCCCAGGCAGGATTTCTGAACTCTTGCACTGCCACCAGGTCTCAGCTCTCCTCAGTCTCCCTACACTATGCCCTGTTATTCTGAGAGTGTCTAGTCTCACAGACACTCTGGAGCCTAGCCCTGTACCCAAGCTCTCCAACAGAAGAGTCTTGTCACCAAGCTGAATCCCAACTAATTGGAAATTCTGGTATATACTCATAAATGAGCTTGGACCTGGAGTCAGTTTTATCTCTGTACTTGCAGTGTGTAGCACAGGGCTGTGCACCCAGTAGCAATTCAACCACTGTTTGTTAAACAAAAAGGCCATATAGTCTTGAAGTAAAACCATGATCTTTGGAGTTAGGCTTCTGGATGTGAATCCCTATTCTACCACTTACTCACTATGTGATGATAGTAGGCAGCCTCTAAAATGGCTTCTAAAATGTCTCCTGATATTCATGCTTTTGTGTAACCCTCTCTTTGGGCAACTTACCTATTGGAGCCTTAGTTTCTTCATCTATGAAATGGGAATTAAAACAATACCTCATTTTACTGCACTTCAACTTATTATGCTTTGCAGATATTGCATTTTCACAAATTGAATGTTTATGGTGACCCTATCTCAAGCAAGTCTATCAGAGCTATTTTTCCAACAGTATGTGCTTACCTCATGTCTCTGTGTCACATTTTGGTAGTTCTTACAATATTTCAAGTCTTTTCATTATTATTATATCTGTCATGTTTATCTGTGATCAGTAATCTTTGCTGTTACTATTATAATTGTTTTGGGGTGCCATAAACCACACCCATATTAAAACAGTGAACTTAATGTTGTGTATGTTCTGAATGCTCCACCAACCAGCCATTCCTCGATCTCTCTCCCTCTCTTCAGGATTCCCTATGCCTTGAGACACAACAGTATTAAAATTAGGCCACTTAATAACCTACAGTGGGCTGGGCATGGTGGCTCATGCCTGTAATCAGAGCACTTTGGGAGGCCGAGGCAGGCAGACCACTTGAGGTGAAGAGGTTGAGACCAGCCTGGCCAACATGGCAAAACCCTGTCTCTACTAAAAATACAGAAATGAGCCAGGCATGGTGGAGGAGACACCTGTAATCCCAGGTACTCAGGAGGCTGAGGCAGGAGAATCACTTGAACTCAGGAGGCGGGGGCTTCAGTGAGTCAAGATCATACCACTGCACTCCAGTCTGGGCGACAGAGAAAGACTCCATCTCAAAATAATAATAACACCACAATGGTTTCTAGTGTTCAAGCGAAAGGATGAGTTACACATCTCTTGCTTTAAATAAAAAATTAGAAATAATTAAACTTAGTGAGGAAGGCATGCAAAGAGCCAAGGTGGGCTGAAAGCTAGGACTCTTGCACCAAATATTAGCCAAATTGTGAATACAAAGGAAAATTTATTGAAGGAAATTAAAAGTGCTACTCTAGCGAACACGTAAGTGATAAGAAAGCAAAACAACCTTATTGACAATATGTAGAAAGTTCTAGCGGTCCCTGGATAGAATATAAATCAGCCACAATCTTTCCTTAAGCTGAGGCCTAATTCAAAGCAAGGCCTCAACTCTCTTCAATTCTATGAAGGCTAAGAGAGGTGAAGGAACTGCAGAAAAGTCTGAAGCTAGCAGAGATAGGTTCATGAGGTTTAAGGAAAGAAGCTATTTTCATAACATAAAAGTGCAAGGTGAGGCAGCAAATGCTGATGTAGAAGCTGCAGCAAGGTTATCCAGTAGACCTGGCTAAGATCATTGATGAGGGTGGCTGCATTAAATAAATGATTTTCAATGCAGACAAAACAGCATTGGAAGAATATGCCATTAGGACTTTCACAGCTGGAGATAAGTCAATGCCTCGCTTCAAAGCTTAAAGAACAGGCTGACTCTCTTGTTAGGGGTTAATGTAGCTAGTGACTTTAATTTGAAGTCAATGCTAATTGACCATTCTGAAAATCCTAGGCCCCTTCAAAATTAGGCTAAATCTACCCTGCCTGTGCTCCAGAAATCGAACAACTAAGCCTGGATGACAGCACATCTGTTTACAATATGGTTTACTGAATAATTTAAGCCCATTGTTGAAGTCTACCTCAGGAAAAAATATTCCTTTCATAATATTCCTGCTTATTGACAATGTGCCTGGTCACCCAAGAGCCCTGACGGAGATATACAAGAAGATTAATGTCTTCATGCCTGCTAACACAACATCCATTCAGCAGCTCATGGATCAAGGAGTAATTTTGACTTTCAAGGTTTATTTGGATCTGGGCAAAGTAAACTGAAAACCTTCTGGAAATAATTCACCATTCTAGATACCATTAAGAATATTTGTGATTCATGGGAGGAGATAAAAATATCAACATTAATAGCAGTTTGAAATAAATTCATTCCAAACTTTGGAATTATGGATGACTTTGCATGGTTCGAGACATCCGTGGATGAAGTAGCTGCAGATATTAGATCTTGTGGAAACAGCAAGAGAACTAGCATCAGAAGTGGGACCTGAAAATGTGACTGAGTTGCTGCAATCTCACGATAAAACTTGAATGGATGCAGTTGCTTCTTACAGATGAGCAAAGAATATGCTTTCTTAAGATGGAGTCTATCTGGTGAAGATGCTGTGAACATCTTTGAAATGACAACAAAGGGTTTAGAATATGACATAAACTTAGTGTGGATAAAGTAGTAGCAGAGTTTGAGAGGATTGACTCAAATTTTTAAAGAAGTTCTATTATGGGTAAAATGCTATCAAACAGCATCACATACGACAGAGAAATCTTTCATGAAAAGAAGAATCAATTGAAGCAGCAAACTTCACTATTGTCTTATTTTAAGAAATTGCCACAGCCACCCTAGTCTTCAGCAACTACCATCCTGATCAGTCAGCACCCATGAACATCAAGGCAAGACCCTCCACCAGCAAAAAGATTAACATTCACTGAAGGCTCTGATGATAGTTAGCATTTTTTAGCAATAAAGTGTTTTGTTTGTATGAAACAGGGTCTCACTCTGTTGCCCAGGTTGTAGTGCAGTGGTGGGATCACAGCTCAACCTCCTGGGCTCCAGTGATCCTCCCACCTCAGCCTCCCAAAGTGTTAGGATTACAGGGGTGAGCCACCACCTCTAGCCTAAAGTTTTGTTGTTGTTGTTTTGATACGGAGTTTTGCTCTTGTTGCCCAGGCTGGAGTGCAATGGCATGATCTTGGCTCACTGCAACCTCCACCTCCTGTGTTCAAGTGATTCTCCTGTCTCAGCCTCCCAAGTAGCTGGGATTACATGCATGTGCCACCACACCTGGCTAATTATGTATTTTTAGTAGCGACAGGGTTTCTTCATGTTGGTCAAGCTGGTCTTGAACTCCTGACCTCGTGATCCACCTACCTTAGCCTCCCAAAATGCTGGGATTACAGGCATGAGATACCACGCCCGGCCGGCCTAAAGTAGTTTTTAATTAATGTATGTAAATTGTTTTAGACATAATGTTACCGCACAATCAATAGACTACTATAGTATAAACATGACTTTTATATGCACTGGGAAACCAAAAGAGTCATATTACTCCCTTTATTGCAATATTTACTTTATTGTGGTGATCTGGAACTGAACCTGCAATGTATCCAAGGTATGCTTGTACCTACCTCAGAGTTTTGTGAGGATTAATAACATTATTATATGGGAAATGCTTAGAGCAGTTCCTGGTGTGTTACTGCATTTCCAAAGACAGTTTTTGCATTTCCAAAGACAGTTCCAGGAGCAGGGCCAGCTTCCCAGGGCCTGCCCTACTAGAGTGGATGGTTCTCATGCTATATGCGTCATTTCCCATTCCATTGAAACCTGCCCAGGGCTGCCTCCAGCCAGAGTGTCAACAGGGTCTTACTAGTAGAAAGAGAAAGGGTGAGCTTCAGAGTTGAGCAGGCCTTGGCCTAACTCCCAACTCTGCCATTCATCAGCAATGTGATTTTGGACTGGTTGGTTATTTTATCTCTCTGAGGCTCAGTTTCCTCACATCTGGAATTGAAATAAAAATGCCTACTTGGTAGGGTTTTCATAATTAAATGTTTTTTAAGTGTCTGGCTCATAATAGGTATCTAAATATAGAAGTATTTATCATTATTATTATTTAAATTTTTAATTAATTTTTAAAAATAGATGAGCCTGAGCTTCCTCAACTGTAAGGTGGTGATAATAATATTATACTTTGAAGTGATTACGTGAGAATGATAGATAATGTAGGGGTAGAGCCTAGCAGAGAGAGCACGGGGCAGATGGTAGGTGTTCAATAAAGCTCATAGTCAGTGCTGCTATTACTGTTGATTATTGTTGATATTTTTATTTCACTTAAAGGAAAGGAGGTTAGAAATGAAACAATTCAGCTCTCATTATCCTGTGCTCTATGGAAGGCAGCCCAGAGAATCACTCCTGAGCCTCTCCCTTTTATTTTTAAAAATCACATTGACGAACATTGATTCTCCTCCTACTGATGAGAGTCAGAAATAGAACCACAGAGGAGAAGGGAAGGAGGAGAAAGAAACAGGAATGACTCACCGGCTGCTTGAGGAAGAAGATCATGTCATCAAGAGAAATCAATTCACTTGTACGCAACAAACATTCATTGAGCTCTTCATATGGGCAGAGGATTATGCCAGACAACAGACACGAGAGTGAGCACCACTGCTCTGGTCTCCCACAGCCCAGTCAGTGTGGCAGGCAGACACGTGGGCAAGAGAGAAGGGGACTAATGTTAACTGAACACCCACTATGTTCTGAGCACTTTAATAAGTGCTTTATATATGAGATCCATTACATTATTTCTGATAACAAAATAACACTGTTAGTTGAGCATTACTATGTGCCAGGTATATGTTAGTAGGCACCTTTCTTATTTAATTTTCAAAACTTTCTTCTGAAATACTACTATCTCTATTTACAAATAAGGAAAAATTTTAAATAACTTGCCTAAGATCTTGCAGTCAGTTCATTTCAGACTGAGATTCAAACCTGGTCTGTCTGATTCCAAAGCCTGTGCTGTTTCCAGGATTCCATTTACCTTATTTCGCTTAATTGTTACATCAGCTTGAAGGAGGACAAGTTTGAGTCCCCATTTGATATATGAAGTAACTGAGGCTCATAGAGGTTAAGTAAATTGCTAGGGTCACAAGCAATAAGGAGGCAGACAGAATCCAAACTCTGGTCAGGCATGGTGGCATATGCCAGTAATCCCAGTACTTAGGGAGGCGGAAACAGGCAGATCACTAGGGCTCAGGAATTAAAGACCAGCCTGGGCAATATTGTGAAACCTTGTCTCTCCAAAAAATACAAAAATGAGCTGGGCATGGTGGAATGCTCATGTAGTCCCAGCTACTTGGGAGGCTAATGTGGGGGATTACTTGAGCCCAGGAGGTAGAGGTTGCAGTGAGCTGAGACTGTACCACTACACTTCAGCCTGAGTGACAGAGTGGGACCTTGCCTCAAAAAAAAAAAAAAAAATCAAATTCTGTCTCTTTTGACTAAAGCCTGTGCATTTTCAATGCAGCCTAAAGTCCAACCTGACTTGTATTATTTATCCTCTTCAGTCCCCAAGATGCTCTGCATCCTCCCAATACAGGAGGTCCTCTAACCATGTCTTGGGCTTCCAGGGACCTTCTCCCTCCACCAGAGCATAAGGATGGAAATCACCTGCAAAGCTTAAATGAAATCACATGTGTCTGGCACACAGGTGCTCAACTAATATTCGATCCAACACACATCATTCATTTCTTCCTAAAGTTTCCTCATGGTCATCACACATGCCACATTTATTTCTGCTCCATATCTCTGTTCAGGCTACTCTCTGCCACAATACGCCCTCTCCCACCTTCTCTTGACCATCAGATTGTTGAATCCTAGGGTAAAAAGAAAACCTTAGAAGTTATTCAGTGCATCCTCTCACTCAAAATAGGAATTCCTTCCACAACATCCTCGTATTGAGTGCTTCCAACTTGGACACCCACCACCTCACAAAGCAGCCATTCCACTGATGGTCAGTTCTGATTATTAGAACATTTCTTCCTGTTGTTGAGCTGAAATCTACATACAGTAATTTCTATCCATTGATTTAATACTGTTCTCTGGAGACACAAAGAAGAAATCTAATTCTTTACTCATGTGGCAGCCCTCCAAATGTTCAAATCCTTACACTTCCTTATCTCTTAGAGTTTACAAAGGTTTTTTCTTATTATCTGTTTATTCCCTGAGTAACCATGTCAGAGGACCAATATCTCTATTCCATAAAAACGGCAACTTAGGCTGGAAGAGATGAATGACAGTGAATCATGAAAAGGGGCTTAAATTAAACCAGATCTTCTGTCTCCCAAAAGACCTTCCTTTTTCACAAGGCTACTTCACTGGTTTAAATCTCTTGTCACAGGGACCTTGACAACTAGCAGAACAGCCAGAGAAGAGTGAAGGGACCTTGAAACCAGCTGAAGGAAGATGTTTAGTACTTATCCCTGGGGGCGATAGTACTCCAACTATTTAAAGTGCCTAAAGACACTTCTCTTTTCCTTTCTTTTTTTTTTTTTTTTTCTTTTTTTTTTTTGAGACGGGGTTTCACTCGTTACCCAGGCTGGAGTGCAATGGCGCGATCTCGGCTCACCGCAACCTCCGCCTCCTGGGTTCAAGCAATTCTCCTGCCTCAGCCTCCTGAGTAGCTGGGATTACAGGCACGCGCCACCATGCCCAGCTGATTTTTTGTATTTTTAGTAGAGACAGGGTTTCACCATGTTGACCAGGATGGTGTCGATCTCTTGACCTCGTGATCCACCTGCCTCGGCCTCCCAAAGTGCTGGGATTACAGGCGTGAGCCACCGCGCCCGGCCTTTTCCTTTCTTTTAAATCTTCACTTGGTATTGATCTGTGCCAAGCATTGGTTAGGTCGTGAAGATAACCAGATGATACAGCCTGGTACTTGCTTAAAGTCTACAGTGTCTGTTACCATAGGAGGTAAACATGTATTAAGAGGGGGTTCTGAAGCAGGAGAGGCCCATTCCCAGAGAGCCTTCCTAGTGCCCTTCCTTGGGGTAATGCTCTCTCTTCAGAGCTCAGTTCAGCAGAGAAGCTGAACATCCTGGAAAAGTTACATGCTCCAGTTATATGCTTTCCTGGCACCATGAGCTTCTCCTTTGTACCCTTCACTCCCACTGTAATTTTATATTTATTTGTGTAATTATTTGATTAAGGTCTGTCTCCTTTGCCAAACTACCACTGCTACAAGAACAGGATGTCTGGTTTTGCTTACTATTGCATCTCCAGTACATGGCACAGCACCTGGAACATAGGGCCAGAGTGTTTCAATAAATATTTGTTCAAAGGATAAATGTATGGGGGTGTCTGCAACAATTTGGATGGGAGCACACAGAATGTCAGATGGTCCTTTTGTAAAATCCAAACCTCACCATCTCCCTCTGTTTCCAAACCTCATCATCTCCATCTGCTGACTCCCCAAAGCCCACAAGATGGGGTCCAAGCTTCTTAGTAGATATAGACCCTTCAAGATTTAGCTCAGGCTTCCCTGCTAGTTCCTTTCCTTTCATTCCTTGACTGAACCAGTGAGCTCCTGTTTTACCTTAATTACCTGTGGTTTCCCAAACACACAGCTCCTTCACACCCCTGTGCCTTTGCATATGCTGATCTTTGTCTCGAATGCTCTTGCTTTCTATAGTTCACAAACATATTCAAAGGTCACATCCTCTGAAGTTTTCCCTGACCTTCTTTCCCCACAAATTCCTCCCCTGCCTTTTAAATGTTTGCCATTATATTGACATAAGATTTTTCTCAGTCCCTTTGCCAGGCTCACAGAAGGAGATGCCCCATTAACTTGGCCTGCTGGGCTGCATCTGAGGGCAAGCCTCTAGCACGAATCCCATGCCCACCACGACTGCACATTCAGTCCCTGGTGAGAGGGGATGTATGAGTGAGCAAGTGCAGGGTCCAGCCAGATGTTCTGAGTGCTCACATGGGAGCAGGCTCCGTGAGGGGCTTGTGGTTTGACCAGGCCTGTCACCCCAAGGTGAAGGCGGCGGTGCCCAGGCAGGGGGGTTCCACAACCCCAAAGCCACAAAGGGGTGTTACAGTGTGCTAGTGTTTTTAGTCCCACCATCAGCAGCCCGAGAGACAGTAGCATGCTAACAGCTCAGCTCCTTGCCCCACTCTAGCCCAGGGCTCCGGGACTGGCTCGGGTCCTACCACTGCTTCTATCACATGAGGCAGCTGCCTTCCACTGGTGAAGGGCAGAGGCCCACAGTGCCACAGCCTCTTGGGTACCTGCATTCAGTGGGTCCCAAGCTCTTGTCCCACATCCAAGAAGAATGAGGTCATATTGACAACTATAGGGTAATAAGGGTGAAAAATTTTATTGAGTGATGAAGCAGCTCTCAGTGGGGAGGGATGAGGAAGGTGGGGTCTCTCACCCCCAAATCAGGTCATCTTCCTCAGTGTGGCTGAGTCTGGGGTTGTTTTAGGCACAGGATAGGGGAGGCGTGGGCCATGAGTAGTATTAGAAAAGGCCACATTCAATTGGTTAAAAAGTATTATTCAGAAAGAACCAACAGGGAAAGGGTGGACAAACAGGAACATAAGTTCTCACTCTGGGTCACGGGTTTCATCTGGAACCAGCAGCAGTCCAGGCTGTTTTGGGCTTGAAGGTGGGGTTTCACCAGGGACCTGCCCCTATCTGCCTGGCATTTGTCTGCCTCCTGCTGCTATCAATATCACTGCACACGTCACATTTATTATAGTTACTGGTTTGTTTTTCTGTCTCCTCTTTCAGGCTACGAGCACCCTAAGATCAAGGTGAATTCCATCCTCCAGCCACAACGATGATCAACTTCATGGTTGTTTCACATGTTTTTCCTATACTTCCTTTTCCCTGGACTAGTAATAATAATAAGAAGAATAGCAACTACCAGTGCTTTCTAAGAATTTAGTATTTTTCTTAATTATACAAGTTAATATATGCTTATTTATATTAACCCGCCCCTGGGTCTTCACTTTCAAGTTTCAGATGGAAATTTCCAACTGTCTGCTGGGCATCTCCACTTAGTCTGAAACTGTTCAACATGTATATGGTTGACTATTAATTATGACCTATTTCATTTGTGTCTTATCCAGCTATTAAGCCCTTATGAGTACCCCACACATATCTGGGCATATAGCAGTATTCTAAAGATGCCTGCAGAATGAACCATCATCCATAATATCCCAATCTCAGGCCCTCAACTACAGCACCTGGCACATAGTAGGAACTTATAAGAATGCTAGCAAATGAAACTCAAGGGCTGACTGTGCTGAGATGGGAAAACTCATTTAGAACTTCAGGATTGGTTGGAATAGGGTCTGTGAGCTCATCCATACCACCTCCTTTTTCTGGGCACTTTTCATGTCATAGACAAAGAGAGAGAGGCCCTGAGCAGTGACAACTTGAGAGGTCACACAAAGAGTGAGGGGTTATCTCTGTGGTCTTCATCCCTGGGCCCTGCCCTGTTGCCTCCAGCCAGACTCCTCTCTCTCCCCATCTTCAATCCAGGTAAGATTAGGGGGTGGGAATGATGAGCACCAGGGAGGCAAGTAATGAGAGCTTTCAAGTTAGCTCTCCCCCATGCTCTATCCTCTGACCCATAGCTGCTCAGCTCCAAGCACTTTTTTTTTTCAGCAGCTGGGAGCTGAGACATTATGTCCCATGGGAATGGAAGGAACTTGGAAGGGGAAAGCTCTTTAGGAAGGAGAGAGCAGTTCAATTGAGCTTGCAAGACACAGAGGACCGAAAGTGGTAAAAATGGTCCTTTGGAGCTAGCTTAATACTACACCTATCTGTCCTCAGCCATATAGACCACATTATAGGGCACCCTACAGTTTACAAGTACTTTCATTACATCATCTCACTGGTGTTTAACAATGATGCTGTGATGCAGACTTTTTTTTTTAACAGTTTCAACTTTTGTTTTAGGTTGTGGGGGTACATGTATGTGTTTGTTACATGGGTATATTGTATGATGCTGAGGTTTGGGGTATGACCAATCCCATTACCGAGGTAATGAGCATAGTATCCAATAGGCAGTTTTGCAGCCCTCGCCCCCAATGCAGACTTTTTAGAGCCAGAAGAAATCAAGCTTCAAGCTCATCCAGTCTGATTCCTTTCTTTTACAGACAGAAAAACTGAGACCTAGACACTCAGGGACTTTCACAAGACCACACAGTTACTTATTTTTAGGCTCAATTAAGACTCAAATTCAAATATTCTGACTCCACATCCAGTGCTCTTTCCAGCCCACCATGTATCATTGTTACTACTGATTAACAGGTAATAAAATTAGAGTCAGCCAGGTTCAGCAGCTTATGCCTGTAATCCCAGCTGAGGTGAGAGAATTGCTTGAGCCCAGGACTTGGAGACCAGCCTGGGCAACAAAGTGAGATCACATTTCTACAAAAAATCAAAAAATTATCCAGGCATGGTGGCCTATGCCTGTGGTCCCTCAGCTACTCAGGAGCCCGAAATGGAAGGATCATTTGAGCCAAGGAGATGGAGGCTGCAGTGAGCCATGAACATGCCACTGCACTCCAGCCTGGGTGACAGTGCAGGACCATGTCTCAAAAAAATAAATAAACTAGAGTCCAAGGACACATAGGTAGCAACTGGTTAGGCCCTCAAGGGCAGAAGGTAGGAAAGAAGTCACTGGAATCCAGGACTAAAGGATCCTAAAGCACCTCCCTGCCCTCTGTAATCCTGTCTAATCTTTGAGGTCCAGGCCAAGTATTTTGGGAAGCCCTTCAGGATCATGTCAAATTTCATCACCATTACTTCTGGCCTTCCACAGAATATACTTGGACCTTTATTTTAGTGACAGCAGAGCACAGACCATTAAAGATAGAAAGCCCTTATGAAAGTAATTAATTCCACATATATTTACTGATCTTAGCCCATGCCATGTGTGATCCCTGCCCTCAGAACACTCACAGTCTAGTGGGGCACATGTGATGAATCCTATGAGAGGTATACACAGGGTCAACTCCTTCATTTCACAGTGGGGAAACAGGAACCCAGAGAGACAAATGCCCTGTATTCTCATTTTTGGCATTGGACTCTCATACAAAGCCCTCAAATACTCTAAACTCAAAAACTCTCATGGATATGGCTATTGATTTCCATGATTTCCACCAAGACATAGGCACTACTTTTTACTTCAAGTAGATTAACTGAAGGTCATAGGGCTTCCTTGAGTTGTTCCTCAATGTATGTGGCATATTTTAGGTATTCAATAAATATTTTTTAACAAATGGATCATAGGATCTATATCAGGAATCCGCTTCCACTCTCACCTATATCTCTCATTTAGGCTGTGCCTTGTTGTTTCTGTACCCTCAGTATCTAGAGCAAACTTGGCACCTGGAAAATACTCTCAAAATACTGAATGAACAAGGGAATGAATAAATGAAAGAAGGGCGGATAATATAATCTCTTTATTGCCCTAAATTAAAAACATGACATCACCCCAAAACACCCCTTTTCTCAAAGCTCTCTCTTTCCTCAGCTTCTGTGAAGTCCCTCTTCCCTGTTCTCTCCCTTCAGCTCTGCTAGCTCCTGCTATTTCTCCTACACTGGCTCCTTATCCGCCCCTGGGTCTTCACTTTCAAGTTTCAGATGGAAATTTCCAACTGTCTGCTGGGCATCTCCACTTAGTCTGAAACTGTTCAACATGTATATGGTTGACTATTAATTATGACCTATTTCATTTGTGTCTTATCCAGCTATTAAGCCCTTATGAGTACCCCACACATATCTGGGCATATAGCAGTATTCTAAAGATGCCTGCAGAATGAACCATCATCCATAATATCCCAGTGATTTGGCATGGACAAATTTAACATCAGAGTTGCCAATCCATTTCCTCGTCACTCTTTTTGCCTCCAAATTGACATCAGCACCATTCACAGCATTCTGAGAAGCCTCTCTGGGGAATTTATTTCATATGCCACCTGCTGTACCCTTTATATGACTCACCCAACTCCCCTTGAAGACAGGAAAATGTGGGGAGAGAAGTGAGGTAGGAGAGAGCCAGGAGGAAAAAAAGAAGCATGAAACAAGATTATACTTAATACATCCCCAGGTCACAGCAAGTAAAAGGAAATGAAGAGAGTCAGGCCTTGTGTTGAGAAATTGCAGGTGATAAAAGTAGGACTCTTGTCAAAAGACAATTCACAAGGTAGGCCAGGCACGGTGGCTTGCTCCTGTAATCCCAGCATTTTGGGAGGCTGAGGCAGGTGGATCACCTGAGGTCAGAAGTTCAAGACCAGCCTGACCAACATGGTGAAACCCCATCTCTACTAAAAATACAAAAAATAGCTGGGTACAGTGGCGCACGCCTGTAGTCCTAGCTTTCAGGAGTCTGAGGCAGGAGAATTGCTTGAACCTGGGAGGCAGAGGTTAGAGTGAGCCAAGATCCTGCCACTGCACTCCAGCCTGGGTGACAGAGGGAGACTCCGTCTCAAAACAAAAGCTAATGGTTAATAAATATATAGATGATTTGTTCAATAAATAATCAAAGAAATGCAACTGAAATGATGAGATACCTTTTTTAACCCATTGAATTAGCTAAACTAAAATTAAAATAACATTCAATGTTCACAAAGTTAAAGTAAAATAGGAATTTCACTGCTGAGAATCTGTCTAAAGGAAATCAACTGAAACCCAGGAAAAGCTTGACACACAGGGATGATCACTGCAACATTATTCATAACAGCTCCAAACTGGAAAGTAGTTAAATGTCAAACAATGGGGGAAACTAAGCTTTGAGAGGCCAGAGATTGGGCCTCACTCTTTTACCACTGTTGAGAGTGCCTGACACACAGTAATGCAACAAATATTGCTGAATGAATGAATGGATATGGTTCATATTTCATATAAAGTACAGTGAAATCATTAAAAACATATAAAGATTTTCTAACAATGTTAACTACGCTTATGTTATAATGTTAAGTTTAATAAAATTGAATATATAATCTGACCTCAACTATGTTAAGAATTCATAGAAAAGAAACTGGAAAGGAATCAACTCAAATATCAGTAACATTTTCTTCTTTATGCTTGGCTGCAATTTCAAAATGTTTTAAATAAGCATATATTAACTTGTATAATTAAGAAAAATACTAAATTCTTAGAAAGCACTGGTAGTTGCTATTCTTCTTATTATTATTACTAGTCCAGGGAAAAGGAAGTATAGGAAAAACATGTGAAACAACCATGAAGTTGATCATCGTTGTGGCTGGAGGATGGAATTCATGTACTACTTACTCTCCCTACTTGAGTGTGTTGCTTGAAATTTTCCATAATAAAATAGGTTAAAAAATAGAAAAGCCTGAAACAGCACAGCATCTGGGGGAAAGGCAAGCAGTTCCATTTTCACTGGTTTGTAAAACACCGTATTTCATAGATTCTAAGATGTTTACTCTTTTACATTTTAGCATCTTTAAAAAAGGATGTATATTACAATTGATAGCATCTTAGATTCTCAGAAACATAGTACTTAAAGTAGTAGACAAGAGAGGAAGTAGGAAGTGAGGCTATAGGTAGATCATGGAGGTCTTGAATGCCAGGTCAAGGTGCTTGGATGTTGTCCTGAAGAGAACAGAAAGCCACTGAGGGGTTTAGTGTCCCCAACATAGGGCCTATGCCCTGGAGGACATTCATGGATTAAATGAGCATAATCCAATGGGTTAAAAAAGGTATCTCATAATTTCAGTTGCTAAATAGTAAGGCCATTGAGGATCAGGTCACCGCTGCTTATGCCAAAGGCCAGGGGACACTGACCTTTGTGGGTGAAGTTTGAAGCCTTGTCCTCCCTCTCATTCTTGTCATCTCATGAGTTTCAGTTCTTTCCAGTTTTGAAGGGCAGAATCATTGTGTTGTATATTAAGGTGACTTTTCTCCCTCTGATCTCCCACATTACTTCTATTTTCCTAAAAGTAATAAATATTTCCCCAAAACCTGAGCCAACACCATAGCTGATATGAATATCCGCAGCCCCTGGGTTCCACAGCACCCTCTGACATCACATTCCAAAGCCAAAACCTTGGCTTGGCTTTTTTTTTTTTTTTTTTTTTTTTCTTTTTCTTTTTTGAGACAGAGTCTCTGTCACCCAGGCTGGATTTAGTGGAGCAATCTCAGCTCACTGCAACCTCTGCCTCCCAGGTTCAAGCGATTCTTCTGCCTCAGCCTCCTGAGTAGCTGGGATTACAGACATGTGTCACCATACCTGGCTAATTTCTGTATTTTTAATAGAGACAGGGTTTTACCATGTTGGCCAGGCTGATCTCAAACTCCCAACCTCAAGTGATCTGCCAGCCTCAGCCCCCCCAGGGACCTATTTCTGAACTCATTTCCAAATAGAGACACAAGGAGTTAACATATTCAGGGCAGGCAACAAGAGTTCAGAGACTTAACTAGAAAGAGAAATCAGGAGTCCAGGATCCCCATCCCATCCTGGGCTGTGTTTTCCCTCTGGTGTCACAGCTGCTTTCTTTCAGGAGTTGGCCCAAGTCACCAGAGCAGACCAGTCCCCTGAGGATCATTTGCATACAGGTGGCAGAGTGTTCCAAAAATAGAATCAACATTCATCTCCACAGAGCAAATACCTTGAAATTTATTTCCAAGAGACAGGGGACAAGCATCTGAGGAGGGAGGAGGAACCTGTTAGAGGCAGCATGACAATGAATGGTAAGGGAGCCACACAGCTGAGGCTGGGAGGCAGGAGGCCTGCATATGGTTTAATCCTACCACTAACTTGCTTTGTGCGCTTGTTAACACTGTGCACGCTGGGCCTTGGATTCTCCTCTTTAAACAGGGTTATTAGACTCGATTTTTTTTAGGGCCCCTTCTAGCTCTAAGGAGTCAGGATAAATAGTAATAATTATCATAATCAAATAATAATTGTTAACGTGAATTGAGTACTAAGTGTCAAGCCCTGTGACAAGTGCTTTTCATGAACTACTTCATCAATCTGCACAGCCAGCTCTTTGAAGTTAAACAAAGAAACTGAGGCACAGAGAGATTAAGTACTTGCCCAAGTTAGCAAATGTCAGAGCTGGGAGTTTAACCCCCGTGTTATACTGTCTGCTGGGATGCTAAACTTATCCCTTTCTAACCTAACAATTTTACTGCTTTCAGCTCTTGCCACCCCTCTCCATTCTTTTCTCCTCAGGTTCTGACCACCCTGGACAACTCCATAGGCCCCAAACATTGTGTTTCTCTAAGTCTTGGTGCTTTGCTCATGCTGTACCCTCTGCCTGGAACAGCCTTTTCCCCTTCCCTGCCAACCCAGTTGCTAATTACCATTGCAATTCAGCTCAAACGCTTCCTCCTGTATGACTTGCATTTCCTCCAATACCCAGAGGCAGAAATAATGACTGGCTGACATTTGTTTTGACGGGCTGTGCAGGCACTGTGCTAATTCTTACAACTTTCTGAGTGAGGTTTCATTTTCATGCTTATTTTACAGATGAAGCAATGAGATTCAGAGATTAAACACCTTGCCTGAAGCCATCAGCTGGTAAAGATCTGAACCAGATAGTGAGACTTCACAGCCTTCCTAACTTCTCTTCTATCTTCTCTCCAATGAAACTGTGTATATGAATTGCCAAGACGCTTGTCTTTCCACCAAACTGTAAAATCTTCTAGTGGTTTTTATAACTCTATATAAACTCTTTTAGTGGTTTTGTTTGTTTGTTTCTGAGTGATCAAATGAACTGCCAGGGGATAATCTGTAGCAGCATAACAAGGAAAAATTAGGCTAGAGTTAGGACCAAACTAGGAGGAAAGAAAAAAAAGTGAAGGCCCTCACTCTGTCGATCTTTCCCTGCAACTTTTTTAAGTCCCTTTGGGAATGAGACAAAAATATATTTTAAAAATATTCCCTGCACCTTGGCACCCACTTCTGTCCTCGTCATATCCTCCAAGAAGCCTCTTAAAATTACCCTCATTCTCATCTTCCCCTTAATTTTAGTGTCCCTTCAGCACTTATGTATCATTTAATTAAACACTGTAAGCACTTATTGAACAGAGGGGCAGCAGAGAGAGTATGGATTTTGGGGTCAAGCAAAGCTAGCTTTGACACTTCTTTGCATGTGATCTTGGACCAGTTGCCATCTTTGACTTTCTGAGCTGTAGATCGGGTTTGATAATAACATCCTTTTCTCGGTATTGTTGGGAGGATAAAGTAAGTGTTGTGACAGTGCCTTGGTAACTGTAAAGCTCTGTATAAACAGTCATGTTCATTTAATTTACTGCTTGCCCTCAATAATCTGCTGTTCTTCCCCTCGTGTCAACACCCAGAATGGGCTTCAGATTCCTGGTGAGCTGGAGCTGTAGGAAAGTGAGAAGAGGGAGGGGCCCAAGAAAGCAGGGCAGGGAACCACCTGAGCACACTTCGGATGGAAGGAAATTAAAGGGCTAATTAAGCCTCTGTTGGTGGTAAATTTCCAAGCCAGCCTTTGGGCTCAATCAGTTGACACAGCAACACACCAGTAGGGGAGGCCCATATCCTGAGAGGATGTTTTCTCTCCTCACAAAATGGCAGCATGAAACACAGGCTCCAATCTCAGAATCGCCACTGATTTTCTCTGTCTTCCCCTTCTCTTCTCTCTAACCTTCCTTATTTCTTCCTCCTCATGTTCTAGTTGAGGAACCTGAAGGGATCAGCTGGGCACAGAGGAGTCTGGGATGTCCTGGGATGGCTACTTGATTGTTCACTGAGGTTAGGTCTCACTTTTTACATGCAGAAGTGGGGTCCAGCAGGAAGAGCCCAGGCAAGGGAATGAGTCCCAAAAGCCTGCATTCAGGTCCCACTTAGCCCACTTAACAACTCTAATAAAGTGCAACACTCTACCCCTCTGGGCCTTAGTTTCCTCAAGTGTATAATGAGTATGGCAAGACCTCCTCTTGTGATCAAATGAGATCTTGTATGTATCAGATGATCTGACCGGACTGGTGTCCACAGTGGTGTTGAGAGGAAAGCTGGTAAGAAAGTGGCATACTCATTCTAGAGAGACTAACCCCAGAGGGGCAGAACTGATAGGAGTGGGTGTGGCACAAAACTTGATCTGAGGCCAAGAGACAGATCAGGCACTGCAAGTGCAGAGAGAAGAGATGGCCTCAACTTTGAGAGGTATACAGCCTTAGCTTGAGCACTCACTTTCGTGTTCCCGATCTTTATTAAACCCTTAGTATTTGCAAGGCCTTGTGCCTGATGCTGGAGCTGTAGACATGAGTCAGACTTGGCCCCTGCCCTCAGGGAGCTTGCAGTCTGGGAGGAAGACAGGTAAGTTCCAGATACATGCAATACTGCTGGTTAGAATGGAAAGTTAAGGAGGGGTCCTTAACCGCCACTGAGTTGGGGGCAGGTGGGTCAGCAAAGATTTCCCAGAAGAGATGATACTTGAACTGTCTTTAAAATCAAATGGGAGTTTGCTGATAGAAAATGGGGGAGGAGGCCAGGTGCAGTGGCTCATGCCTATAATCTCAGCACTTTAGGAGGCCTAGGCAGGAGGATCACTTGAGCCCAGGAGTTTAAGATAGCCTGGGCAAAAAAGTAAGACCCCATTTCTATTAAAAAAAAAAAAAATTAGTCGGGTGTGGTGGCACATACCTGTGGCCCCAGCCACTCTGGAGGCTGAGGTAAGAGGATGGCTTGAGCCCAGGAGGTCAAGGCTTCAGTGAGCCATGTTCAAACCACTGCACTCAAGCCTGGGTGAGAGAGGAAGACCCTATTCCAAAAAAAAAGGAAGAGAAACAAAAAGGAAACGGGGAGAGGGGGAATCTCTAGAGAGGAGGAAAAAACCTGGGCAAAGCAAGGAGCGGAAAAAGTGCATCCTGACTCCCAGCCCAGAAGAGCATAAGGAGACACGACAGTTCAAGTCAGTTGTGTTCTAGATGGGATCCTGGAACAGAAAAGGGTTATTAGGTAAAATCTAAGGAAAGTGGAATAAAGAAGGGACGTCAGCTAATAATAGTATGTTGATATTGGTTAATTATAACAAATGTACCATACTAATGTAAGATGGTAATAACAGGGAAAACCAGGTGTGGGGTCAATGGGAACTCTCCATACTATCTTCACAATTCTTCTGTAAATCTGAAACTGTTCTAAAAAATAAAGGTGTTTTTTTTTTAACTGCATCCTAAGTTGGGGTTGGGGGTTTAGAGTACATGTGGGTAGTGCATGGACTGCCTGAAGGGTGAAGATGGGGCTGGGGAGGCAAAAAGGGCCAGAATGTATGGAGGGGGGTGCAGGGGTGACCCCCCTGGGTTTTAGGCACTGGAGTGACAGCAATTATGGAGGGCAAGCCTGAGGGCTGGGAGCACCACCCAGGCAGCTGCAGTCCAAGAGGGAGAACAGGAATCTGAGGTAGTAAAGGGCAAACAGGAGAGACAGGCTCACAGTCCGCCCTCAATAAATGTCTATGGGACAAAACTGACCAGGGGATACATTCAAGAGGAATTTGGGAAACAGAATAGATATTTATCATGAACAACCAGACGAGTAGGACAAGAGCAGAGAGGGGTAAAGGATGACCCACAGTTTTGGGCTGGGGGCAGTGGCGGGGCACTCAAAAGAAGGGGCACAGTATCCCCTGGGACCTTCCCTCTCACCCATCTGGGCCTGAGTGCACAGCCCCTACGTTATTAGCACAGAGTTAACAGACTTCACAGAGGAAGGTGAGAAACACAGGAGCACAGACAGGATAAGAGTTTCCAGCTGTCGCCTGGCAACCTAAGGTGTGGAGCAATGGTGTGGAGGAAGCAGGATTCTGCAGAAGGAAGGGATTATACATCCTCAGTTGAATGGCTCCCCCATCCCAGCCCTGTCCTTAGCAACACATCAGGCAGGTTCCAAGCAAGCTAGGAGAATCTCCAGCCTTAGACGGCAACTGGGCATCTTCAGGGGCAGAGCACTGCTGCTCTCTCCATCCACTGAAAATGGGAGTAAAAGGGCCACAACTCACAACTAATTTCTCTGTTGATGACTCTGCCTTGTAAGTCCTGTGGCTCACAATCTTAAAGTGGCCATCCTAGATCACAATCTAAGATCAGTCACTGTAGTACAGCATAATAGGACACTCATGAACTAATCCTGGCTCTTCCCATCAGTTTATGACTTTGGGTAAGTTTATTGAGCACCTAATATGTTACAGACACCATGCTAGGTCCTTTCCCTTTATTGTCTCATTCAATCTTTACTACAACACTGAGAAGTAAGCATTAATATTCTTCTATTTTACAGCTGAGGAAGCAGAGGTTCAAAGACATTACTTATCACACTGCTGGTGTCATGTGCTCATTCCACTTACACCACTGCTGAAGTAACCAAGCCCCCAACCACTCCTCTCACGCTGTGCCAGACATGCAGCAGCTTCTTCAGAGACCACTACATTCAGTGCCAAGTCACTTAATTACATACCTATACACCGGTGTTGCTCAACCTGGGATGCCCTTTAGACTGGCCTGTGAAGTTGTAGTGGGACAAAGAGAGGGGAAAGCTGGTAGAAAAGGAGGGGAGCTGGAAGCTAAAAGGTGATAGTTTGCAACAGATAACACTTCCCTTTCTGAGAGTATTTGCTTGGAGGTTCTGATTTTTAGCTGTGACGTTGACTCTCAACAACCTGTGAGGTCCCTGAGGTATCACAGGGCAGTGGAAAGAGTGGGGAGGGCAGTTTGGTGTAAAAAGAACACTCTGGTGACAAATATTCCTAATTTTGAGTCCCAGATGTGCTATTTTCCAGGCTTGGTAAAATTTGGTCAAGTCCCTTAACTTCTCTGAGTCTCAGTTTCCTCTTCTGTTCTGGGCACCATCACTGTGATAATTATAAGGAAAATACTGCAAGTAAAGCACCTGTAAAGTATATAATTGCTGCCCAAAACATTATAATTCTTAACATTTTCACCATTTACAGAGTGCTTTACCTATATGAAGATATAACAAGGGAAGGAAGTGGGGCAGGGCATGGAGCATACATGGGTTTTGAAGCCAGACAGACCTTTATTTTTATTTTTATTTTTAGGCATTCTCGCTCTGTCATCCAGGCTGGAGTGCAGTGGTGCGATCTCGGCTCACTGCAACCTCTGCCTCCTGGACTTAAGCGATTCTCCTGCCTTAGCCTCCCAAGTAGCTGGGACTACAGGCATCAGCCACTACACCCTGCTAATTTTTTTTTACATTTTTAGTAGAGACAGGGTTTCACCATGTTGGCCAGGCTGGTATTGAACCTCTGACCTCAAATGATCCACCTGCCTTGGCCTCCCAAAGTGCTGGGATTACAGGCATGAGCCACCACACCTGGCCTGAAGCCAGATAGACCCTGATTCAAATCTGTACTCTACCACTTACTATTTGTGTGAACTTGAGAAAGCCATCTAATTCCTCTGGACCTCAGTTTACTTCTCTGTAAAATGGGGATAATAACAGCACCTAGTCCACAGGGTTAGTGTGAGAATAAAATCAGTTCATAAAAGCACTGAGCACAGTGCTGGCATGAAAGCCAGTGCACTGTCAGCTCACATTGGCCTTGTGGGAGATAGTATTAGCCCATTTACAGGTGAAGGTCTAATTGAAAGCTGTTGTTCATTGCTACAGTTATTGATGTGTGAAGTCAAAAGGGATGCCAGGCATTCAGAATAAGAACAGCACCTTTGCCAGACTCTGGGCCTCTAAATGCAGGGATCAAAAGGAAGCAGGGATCCTCCCACACAGGCCACACAACCACCGTCTGTGTTGGAGCCACGTATCTGCTTTATAATTTGTTTTGAATTCTCTTTATCCCTCTGTTCATGTCAATTATGGCAAGAAGCCCATCCAAAGCCATCCCTGATCACTGGACTCCAATTGCCATATAGCTCGGTACATCATCTTTTCTAACACTATCTCCTCTCCTCCCCATTGAAACCTTTCCATGAATCTTCTGAAAGTCACAGTCAGTCATGAGAAAAATCTATTTTTCGCTCAGCCTCTCATCAGAATGTTTCCTTTACCTCCTTGCTATAATCGAAACCCGGCTCTCCCTAAGGACATGGCTTCTCCTAAGCCTCTAAATTGTGGGTCACTTCCTCTCTCATCACGCTTGAATCACTGGGCCTGCAGGTAGGATAGATGTTGCTTCTCACCCCTGCTTTCATATCACTGTCTTTCCCTCCTTCAAAACACAAAACAAAACACCTCCAGCTTTCAATATCATGAGATTATAACACCCACTTATCCGTCTCCTGGCCAGTGAACAGCTCTTGGTTCACTGTTATTCTTTCCATAATTCTTGGTGATTTTAATATCCACATAGATGAGCCTTCCATCATCTTGGACTCTCATTTCCTTGAATGCTTCTCCTCCAGTGATACTGATCTCTGATCTTACCTTAGTCACTCACTCTTACAGTAATATCCTGGACCTTATCATTACCAATAGTAATTTCAATCTTCCCATACTCAGACCACTGTGCTCTTTCTAGCCCACTTCTCGTAGATTCCCAGCATCAACAGTCTTCATTCCCTACCATCTTTTCACTGTCCTTCATCCCTTGTGCTGTTACCTCCCTCTCGGCCCAACTTGAATTCTATGGTCAATCATGACAACAGACTCCCTGCACATGCCCCTGACTCCCCAGGCCCTCTTGCTTTGTGATACTCAGCAAACCCACACTTTCATTAAAGTCAACTCTCTGCCAGCCAGGCATGGTGGCTCACACCTGTAATCCTAGCACTTTGGGAGGCCGAGGTGGGCGGATCACGAGATCAAGAGATCGAGACCATCCCGGCCAACATGGTGAAACCCCGTCTCTACTAAAAATACAAAAAAATTTATCTGAGTGTGGTGGTGCGTG